GCATTTTATGACAACCCCTCACATTAAAATCCCTCAACAATACGGGTTGATCCTTCTCCAAAGGTGCACTTAGAATTTATTGTCTTTAAATACACATTAACATGTCCATAATCCAACATATTTTAGCGAACAGATAAATTGATGGAGAAGACGTTATCTTCAAAACCTCAGTTTGGGGGACCTTGGCCTAAAAACCGTTGAAGACCCCTGACTTAGAACATGCTGATCATAGTTTTTTCTTTCGGTGCTCTGCCACCATTTTTATCTCTTGCCCCTTCAATGGCTGCTTGCAACACATGTCCGGTGATCCTGGATCCACTCAACTTTCCCCAGTTGCCTGATGAGGAGTGGTGGTGTAGTAGCAGCAGTTTAGCACCTTCCGTAGGCAAGAGTTCCAATCTCTTTTCCGAGAGATGAGTGTGCAGCGAGTTCTGGAAAGTTCGATTGAAACGTTTGCATAGCCCATTTGTGGCCGGGTGGCAGGCAGAGAGAGACTTTTCAATGCTGTGAATCAGGGAACTTTCAAAGTTGCGGCCCGGAGTGTATACGGGCAGGAACACCAAAGTTGAAAAAACACTCTCCAATGAAAACCTGTGCTACTGTCGAGGCAGGTTGATCAAGGGTAGTAATAGCAAATGTGTATTTACTAAAAACGTCTGTCATCACCAGAACATTATCCAATCCATTGTGGGCAGGTTCCAACAAAGTAAATGCCCCAAGTAGCTACAGGTAGTTGGGATAAATGTTTCTGCTTCTAATGGTTAGGATGCTGCTTCTGTCTCCAGAACAACGAGAATCCCAGATTAACTGGGTCTGCCTGCTGAAAAGAAAAATGTGAGGCAGTGTGTGATTAGCAAAGACAGTGAGAGCAGCTTCAACCTCAACCTTCTCCAAATGCAATGCTCCCTGCAATAGTTGGGTGGGCCAAGTTAACGCATAAAGCCTCAGGGAGACGGCCTGACGGAGGAACCGGTGGGCAAGGAGTCTTCGGGAGGCGGCCCGGAGGGTGATGTGGCAGCGCGAGTTCTATGGGGGGCGGCCTGGAGGGCAGCCGGAACCTGGGCGGGGAATTGAGTCGGCCAACCTTACGAGGAGTGGAGGCCGAAGTGCCAGGCAACAGGAGACACCGACAAAGACTAACAATCTGACAAGGAGACAAGGGACACGTGTAGGGATTCAGGGGCATGGCAGACAATTAACTTTACAGGGGAAAATACACCAGGGCAGGAAGCAAAGTTAACTGCAGTTAATTTTTCTCAACCTTTTATTTATTTATTTTTAATCTAAAATGTTTCCCATTGAGGTTCATAATCTCCTTTCCTCTCAATGATGGAATCAAACTAATGCTAAGAGACTAAACAAACTTATTATTTAACATATTTCAGCCCCAGACACATACCTGTCAGGTATTCCCCCACCGGAACAGACCCAAACGCAGACCGAGTGAAGTGAATAACACAGGTTTTATTTTCTTGGGGGGCAATAATGGAAAGTAACAGGGTGGTGATGGCGGTCCGGAATCCCAGCCGAGGTGCTGGTTCTTAGGATCCAGGGATGGGAAAAAATGGGACTAGGTGACTGGGTGAGTGCACAGGAAACACAACCCACCAGGTGCCTAAACCGGAAAAAACGGAAAAAACGGAAAAAACACAATACTGGTCAGTACCAATAACAGCCTAATGTAGAGTCGCAATCACCGGAGCTGGCCGTCTCACTCACAAAACAAGACTAACAATTCGGCAGGGACGAGACGTCAGGGCCACTCCTAAATACCTCCCCTGATTGGGCAGGCAGCGCCAGGTGGGAGATTGTTGATGCTAAGCTGCTAGCCGCTGCTCTCACCTCAGTAATGACGTCCCGCCCCCTTGAGCGCTGGCTGGTGCAGACACACAAACACAAAAACACAGAAACACCAAAAACCCTCTCCAGACAAAACAGACCACACAAACACGTCACAAAGGAGTCGACCTGACAATATCTTTGTAAATGCACGTCACTGTGTGAGTTTACAATCTGCATGTTGAACATTAATATCATGTGAGCATGCTGATGCGCATTTACTTGAGTATGGGCTCACATAGCTACTAGTATTTTGGCATATCATAAACATTTTTACCTTACAAAGCTGATCCACTGACAGCACCAGTCGATAAACAAGGCGATGGATTAGATGTAAAATGCTTGATCAAAGGAACAAAATCATAAATCAAGTCCAGAAATGTTTAGATTTCTATTAACCGTTTGACAGTAGCAATGTATTAGTCTAATGCTAATTAATGTTAAGTGTTAAGCATGGTAATGGATGCTACATGAGGCTTTCTCTGACACTCAAGTATTGAAAAACTAAAAGTCAATCAACTGTGCCAAGCATATGCTGTAAGTGAGGGCAATTGGACAACAAAGCATACACTGGCTAGGTTGTGTCAGTGGCAAAGCATACATTCCTCATACAAGAGGGTCTGTTGTCAAATTAAAGGCAAGCAGACGCTGCTCTATAAACTATGCAGAAACATTATAGCATTTTATACCATTACCCAACTTCTCTGCTTCAATTTGCTTGGGGAAGTGAAAAAACGTGGCCATTGCAGGCCAAAAGAAGACCTACTGGGGTCCTGACTTCCAAGGTGGTCCCATTAAGAATCATTCACTTTATACTTTACTAAGAACTCTCACCTACTGGAGGACCTAACTGGTACTTTGATTCAAGAGTAACAGAACGATGCCAAAACATATTCAAATATGATTCTTTCATGGTTGCTTTTATTTGCCTGGTGACAGTTTATTCATTTCAAGCGGCAGTTTTTCAAACTTCTGTAGTGGTTCTTCTTCAACATGTTACAGGAAAAAAAACCATTAACTCTATTGTTGTACACAACGTCTGGTTCTGGTAACATGTTAGCAACAGGCACATTGAAGCAGAGATACACAGACGCACACACAAGTCGGATAATGCGTCCACTGACACAACCTAGCCAGTGGCATCTGAAGAATCTCAACAAGGTTTTAATGGTCTGATGCTTCAAAGACATCAAGGAGGCACTGAGAGAAAAAGTGTGTGTGTGTGTGTGTGTGTGTGCATGATTTTGTGTGTTACAATGGTTACAATACAATTTGTTTACTTCATTTAGTTACATCTTTCTTTTTTATCTGAACAGTCTTATGTCCACAATCAACATTAAGCATTATTTTAAAGATGACTTATTAGGCAGTAAACTTCAATACACCATGAATGAATGTGATTTCCAGCTGTGAGGAAGCATTTTTTTGATATGACACCCAATTTCCTTAAACTGCAAACAAGTAAACCAAACTCAAACTTGAACCATTTCTATTTGCAAACAAAAGGCATTAACTACTCAGACCCAACGCAGCAGTCATTACAAACTGGTGAGAACATTGTACATCACTATTGAAAGTACTCATTCCTGCAATGAATCTAATTATCCAGAGGCTGGATGCAATTTATTTTCCTTAACGTTTTTAGGATCTGTTAAATGGAGCTAATGAACTTAAGTGTGGTGTGTTTTGTGAAGTGGTTTTTGGTAAGACATTTCACGTAAAATAGACACCATGTCGAAAAGAGACCAATTGAGAAAACCACAAGCAGCAAAGAGTGAATCTGAAGAGAAGTGGGGAGTCAAGATAGAAATAACAGCAGTGTTAGTACTGTTTTAAGCTAACCTCCTCCCTCCCTCTGTGTCCTCCAAGTCTTATCTATGGCCATTTGTAGCGGCCATTAGCATTGAAGGGCCTGGTAATCTCTAGCTGCAGGGAAGGAAATTCACTTTCAAAGAGCCGAGGCCATTCTCTGCTCCCTCTCGTACGACCTCCCCCTCTGTTCCCTCCTCCTCCTCTCCTTCTCCTGGGCCCAGAGCCTTTATGTTGACATCTGTCCACCACATTCCAGACACATCTCCTCATCCAGCACAAAATAAATGGTCTTCTCTCCATGAAAAAACACAGTTACATGCTGCAGTTATGTAATGTCACAGTTTTTATGACTTGGTTTCCATGTGTTTCTGTGAGTTTTGTCGACCCCTGGGAATACATTTGGTAGATTAGATATTAACAAAGAAGTATCCTGTATGACATGTTGACAAATGTTTTTTTGGTTTGATTCGCTGTGCTTGCTTCACATTTTGAGTTTGTTAAAAACAAAAATAATTTGATTGAGTGAAAAGCCACAAATACCTGTTACAAGTCTGTGTGTTATGGAGGTAGAACTAGATGGCATATAAAGCGATAATATCGACAACAGAGACCATCCCCTTCATGGTTTGTCAGAGACATGAGGGAACCCACCGGCTGCAAAGGCTCTAGATTCTAATCTGGATTGAGATTTAAGCGAATCAGCATTTGCAGTGCAGCGGAATCCCATATATCCCATCTCAGATCCCAGACTTCTGTGAAGTGTTGGGACAAAACAAAGCTCAAACATGAGGGTTGACTGGCTAAGTGTTTTTTCAGTGTTCAAGTGTCGGCTGAAAGTAAAGCTTTTCTCTCTCTGTAACCTCCTAAAAATGCCACACAGTCCCCATCCAGAGCAATATGGCGACATGCTAATTCACACCCTCTTCCTCGAACACAAGGGAACAATCAAATTTTACTTTTCCCCCGTATGAGAGCAAAAGGAAAATGCAAGTTCTTCTTTATTTGCAGAAACAAAGAACAGAGTGATTACTTGCAGTTACAGTTGTGAGTAAAATATGACCTTGGCCGAGTCATCACAATGAACAAGGGAACAATCATCAAGTCGAGCAATTGCAAAACAGGGTCTATGTCGTGCATCTGCTCATCAAGAGATCATTTGTTGAATGAAAAATGTATTTGGTTTGGCATGGCTTGAGTTTCATTCATCCCAGGTTAAGTTGAAATTGCCCGTTGTTGGGGAATGTGTCCGAAGGTATCTTTTAAACTGATGACCTGTTTAGATTGTTTGCAACACAGCAGGAAAAAAGAGGAAGATAACCAAATTCCCCCACAAAAAATCCAAACTTCAAAAGATTTCCAAATAAATATTTATTGTACATGACGTCAGGCTATTTTTTGTACATTCAAATTTGTTTGGGCTGTGTTTGCTTGGTTGTCTCAGCCAATCAGAAAGAAACAGCCATGACAGACCATTTTTTAAAGAATTTAACAATATTTATTCATTTGTCACTTTTCCAGGCTTTCTTTGGTTGGCAGCTCCTCTGGTCCTCGGGGTCTTCTCAAACCATTTCTGACCAATAAAGATGCATATGCCATGCCACAGAACCCGTCTACACAGGATGAGGACCAGCAGCACGACCACAAGAGTCCCAGAGAACATAGTCCAACCTACAACATACACATATTCAGTTGATCATTACCAAAAATCGTAATAGTAGTATGCTTCAAACGTGTAGGTTATGTGATGTGTCAAGTGTGAGCATCACACAACGTCAGTGCCCCCCCTCACAGAAAGCTTCATATAGATCAGTCCCACACTTTTATGAAGTTGTATTTGGGGAGGCTGTGTCTGACATCGTTTCAAATGACCTAGTTTACAGAGGTTACAGAGGTTAAGATTAGCCTAAACAGGGTTTAAACTTCCAAGCTCACAGGTACCTCTGTATACAAAACAATGTGAAAGTCTTTGAGAATGATTGCCAGCGCAGAAATGTTCATACTGTATATGTTCTGAATAGCCAGGCTTGTTAGCCCACTGTAAGTGTGGCCTTCAGAGCATGTAGGTGTTTTATTAGCACTTACTTAAGCACTTTGTAGTTTGGCTCTCCTGAAAGAACTGTACTTTCTTGATTCTTGTTGTTCTGGGTCCGTACCCTCTTGCTTGAATGCACTTATTAAGTTGCTTTGGATGAAAGCGCTAGCTCAGCTATGGGCTATACATTTCTACAGATGAACATTTAACAAATTCAAAAGTTTGCTTTTAAATTAAATTAATCAAAATGATAGATTAGGTTAGGAAAGGAATGTAGACCAGAAGCCAATCAATTACAGTAACAGAAGAAAAAGTCATTACCTCCTCCCCTGTGTTTGTGTGTGTGTGTGTGTGTCTTCATAACAATGATAGCTCTGTGGAGGGCCGCTCCACTATAACCCTTGATAGAGAGATGCAGAGAGCGAGGGACCAGGATAGAGAGAGGATGGTAAAAAGAGGTCTGATTTGTGGAGTGTGCCTCACACCCTCCTGTGGGTGCCCCCTCTCTTCTCTCTGTCCTCTCATTCCTTTCTTCTCAGCCACTCTGATGTAATCCAAAGGCCTCTGCAGGAGCAGCTGCACAGCGAACCAGCCTTCCCTCCTTCCCTCTCCCTTTCTCTAAATCTCTTTCTCTCTTTTCTTTGCACTTCCAGAGGCATGCGAGGCGAGGCAAGGGAGAGGAGGGCGCTCAGACACAATTGGGGTCTTTTTTTGCCCTGGAAAAAAGGGGCTATCGCCTCACATCTCCTTCTGCCACCACGCTACTGTACTATACTGCAAGCGGGTGGGTGGGTGGGTGCAGTGGCAGAGTGTCTGAAAGGCTAACATATAGAGCAAACTGCAAGTAAATGCCAGAGCAAGACAGCAAATGTACACTGTACCAAATCCACCCCCCTTAAATTACAGTAAAAAGCTGTAAAAATGATTACAGTAAAGTGCTGTATGAAAAAATGCATTGTACTCTTATTGTAGCAATGAGATGCTCCTTCCGTCATCATCACCGTCCCGCTGCAAGTGTTGAATAAGAAACAATGTAAAGAAGCAAACTAAGCAAATTAACCACAAATAGTTGGATGAGTAAATTCCCTGAAATTTCTTTAAGTCACGTTTAGGTGTAAAGAAGTTGTAAAGCTCTACTAGCAGCCCCAACAGGCTGCAAGGTTCATTACTCCATCACAACAAAGATGCTGTTAGTGTATCCTTTGGAAGGGGATACTCTGTTCCAAAACCCTCACATCAGCATAGGAAAATAATAAATAAAAAAAACCTTTGATGGGGTGAAAGGTAAATCTTAGTGAGAACAGCAGATGAGGATTCCTTTCCCAGGATGTACAAACTACAATGGATGTCATGTGTATAGAATGAACAACGAAAAAGATACATTCAATGACAGAAATGTGCTCAGCAAATCTGTTGGTGTATTGTACATTACGTTTATATCCGGGATAGAAATGGATTTGTTTTGGCAGAAATGAAACTATGAAGTAATTATCGTCATCACCCTTCTGGGGCTAAACTTCCCCAAGCAAAAAGAAACTACATTTTGCCTTTATTGAGGTTATGATGCATTTACAATGATTCATCAAACATAACACTTCCTCAAGTGTTTGCTACAAAAGGATCCCAGCTCAAAGCTTACCTACTGGCTTTTAGCTGCATGTCAAGGACCTGCAGTCAACGGTTGAGAAAGAGCTAATAATTGGTCAGTTTGTCACCTTGGACCCTGAGTTGCCATTATAGGATATAGTGAGTTTATAGTATTTAGTATTTAGTCATAGTTTTGTCAGTGACATGACAGAACTGAAGCCCAAGGGAGTTGAGCTGCAGTTGGAATGTGGGATCCCCTTAGTTTGTTATGTTGGAATCAAATTCCTCAGTTGGACCCCACCCTTGATATTTGTGATGTGAACTGCAATTCACATTTGATTGACATCATTACTGGTAGGACGGATATAAAACAGTTATGAGGACAGCCAGTGAAACTGGAATACTCACCTGGCCGTTATCAGTTCAGCTAATCTGGAAAAAGTACAAAGAAATATAAGAAACATGATTTTGAGAATTCACTAATGTCCTTTGTTAGGCAAAACTCCAGGAGGAATTTTAAAGATTACATTTTGAGGATGTCTTTGGAATTTAAATGGCGAACATGAGCCATATGAATTGACATAATAACTATAACTATAATTATTATTAAAAAGCATGTATGTAGATTATATGAAGAAGAAAACTGAAGATATTCCTTACTTTCTCAAACAAGGTTGATGAGTCCGGCGGTTATGTTAGATATATAACAAAGCGGTAAGCTTCCAGCTCAAAAGGTAGCTGAGGAAACAATTCTCAACAAGCTGCTGTTTGGCAGACTGGGGGTGGGAAATAATGTCCTTGGCTTGACTTCTTTGATAGTTTAAGTCAATATCCTGCTCATACAGACGCCAGAGCAGCTCAGTCACTTCAGAAAGGTGAACTGAACAATCGGTTTTATGTCAATAAATGTCCATGTCTACGAAATATATAAACCACGTTTTTAATATGGTTTGATTGGAGTAGACAGTGGAAGCAGCATGGCTGAATTTTCATTGCAGACTGGATCCATTAACACCCATGAACCTGTGACAACACTGGAACATGTGTGGATTGTCTTCAACATTACTCTCACTGTCAATAGAAAATAGATATACTTAAAGCTGCACAAAGAGACTCATTCAGCTGCTTTGGGGTAGTGCAATGAGCTGTAAACATGACATTAAACAGTAGTTATTATGATCATGTTCTCCACATCCAGCAGAACAAGAGCAACACTACGTTTTCAATTGTCTTTGTCTCCACCTCATGGATGTGAGTTTAAAGTTCTCTCTCTTAGCACTGTTTTACAGGGAAATGATTCCTCTTTAGCAGCTAAATCCTCCACCATGTTCCCCAGCTATGATGGAAGAAGGGAATGGACCTGAGGGGAACTGCAAACAGATGCTTTTTCTCTGTGTTGCCACGAGTGACTTGACACTTTCTGTCATTCTCTTCCAATTGTTGGTACAAAAAAGTCCCTGGGAAAGAGAACACCAGCTTACTACAGACAAAAGATATTTTGTCTCATGAATACATTTATAAGTTTAGGTTTTTAAGAAGTTTGTAAAAATAATGAACATTTAAAATTTAGGTTGACTTCTTTAAAACAGTTTGTTAAGGGGTGTTTAAAGTGTTAAATACAAATGCATACTAATATTAAGATTAAACGTTGAAGGAAATGATAGATGTCAGAAAATGAGTCACACCTGTAACACTATTAAACAGCAAGCATGACGATAGTCCTGCAGGATGATGATCTCCTTTATCTCGGGTCACAATCTAAGAAGCACAGTTTCTCCCAACTGAAGGAAACCAGCAGCAGTGGAAGCCTCTTACTTATGTGTGTGTAGGTGTTTCTGTGAAGGGGGCCACTGCTGTTTATTTATGGCTGCCTTCAACTGAACGTTGTACTTCCCAGTCACCAGGTTAGAGGGACCCTGGAGGTCACATGTAGTGTGTCCTAGAGGCACACATGCATTGCGTGTGTATGTGTGTGTGCAAACCCAGGTTCGGGTCAATCAGCCGTGTGTTTGTTGATACTTTCAGAGAAAGCTGAACCAGCTACTCCTTCTGGGAATGATCCACAGTGCTCATCATGTTTGATGGGCTGTTTTGCCTCTGTACTGAAGCTACTGGTTCAGATCTTATCATGAGATGGAGTCATGTATTAGATTGGATCAGCCCAAAAGTATCGCATATTTATTTTTAAATTTTCTTTGCCGTTATCACAATGTAACCTCGGTTAGCTGTCAGCTGCAGTGCCAGCAACATCATTAGTCTTACACCTGCAAATTTGTTCATAGTGCAGCATTATCGGAGATTGGCTTCTGTAAAACTTCTGAAGAAAACAACTACAGACCGGTCTCTCTTCTTCCCTTTTTGTCCAAAACCCTTGAACGTGCTATCTTTAATCAACTCTCCTCTTATCTCGACTGTAACAACCTCCTTGACCCCCACCAGTCAGGTTTCAAGGCAGACCACTCCACAGAGACTGCTCTCCTTGCTGTCTCAGAGCAACTACACACTGCTAGAGCCGCCTCTCTCTCCTCTGTCCTCATCCTTCTGGACCTCTCTGCTGCATTTGACACGGTCAACCACCAGATCCTTATTTCCTCCCTTCAGGAACTTGGTGTCACAGGCTCTGCTCTCTCCCTTCTCTCGTCCTACCTCGACGGCCGCACCTACCGGGTAACCTGGCGAGGATCTGTGTCGGAACCTTGTCCTCTTACTACTGGAGTTCCTCAGGGTTCCGTGCTGGGTCCCCTCCTGTTCTCGCTTTACACCAACTCTCTTGGCGCTGTAATTCGCTCGCATGGCTTCTCTTACCAACAGCTATGCCGATGACACCCAACTAATTCTCTCCTTCCCTCACTCGGACACCCAGGTGGCGGCTAGGATCTCTGCCTGTCTAACTGACATCTCTCAGTGGATGTCCGCCCACCATCTGAAAATCAACCCCCACAAGACTGAACTACTTCTCTTTCCCGGAAAAGATTCGCTTACCCAGGACCTGACAGTCAACTTTGGAAACTCCGTGCTAACGCTCACTTTGACCGCTAAGAACCTCGGCGTCACACTCGACAGCCAACTCTCCCTGACTCCCAACATCACTGCGACAACGCGATCCTGCAGATACACGCTCTACAACATCAGGAGAATACGTCCCCTTCTCACTCAGAAGGCAGCGCAGGTACTGATTCAGGCTCTTGTCATCTCCCGCCTGGACTACTGCAACTCCCTTCTGGCTGGTCTCCCTGCCACCGCCATTCAACCTCTGCAGCTCATTCAGAATGCAGCAGCTCGACTGGTCTTCAACCTTCCGAAATTCTCCCACACTACTCCACTCCTCCGCTCTCTTCACTGGCTACCGGTGGCTGCCCGCATCCAGTTCAAAACATTGGTGCTCACGTACCATGCTGTGAATGGATCGGGTCCAGCTTACATCCAGGACATGGTCAAATCCTACATCCCAACCCGCACTCTCCGCTCTGCATCTGCAAAACTGCTCGTTCCTCCCTCACTGAGAGCAAAACACTCGACTAGATCACGACTCTTTGCTGTCTTTGCGCCGAAATGGTGGAACGAGCTCTCTGAAGACACCAGGACCGCAGAGAGCCTTCACATCTTCCGCCGCAAACTAAAGACACACCTCTTCAGACTCTACCTCGACTAAAGACTACCAAATTGTAGCACTTAAATTGTACTTGTAACGTCACTCATCTATAGCAAATTGTAAATTGGCTTATTTGAGGAAATTGCACTTTCTTGTTTGTTGTTCTCCTGAGTTTGTACCCTATGGTTGAATGCACTTATTGTACGTCGCTTTGGATAAAAGCGTCCGCTAAATGACATGTAATGTAATGTAATGTAAAACGGTGTTTCACAGTATGAGACACTTATCTTTTCTGCCATTTTTTAAATCAAATGTAACCTGTTTATATGTATGAAAGAAGTTGGTAAAGTTACTGCAAGTTAAGTTATGTAAGGTGAAAATTTGGACTAGGTAAGATTTTCCATACAATGCACAGGCTCACACATTATTTGATCAATTGTACAAACACCGGACCATCTGCCAAATTAACCCAACACAGGAGATTGTGGAGCAACGTCCACTCTAACACCATCTTGAGGAGGAAACCATAACCAACAGGGGGAAAATGCGTTTTGGAAGAATGCTGTTATCCCCTCATAAATGTACATAGTTAAAGCATCTATGACAAGAAGCAGTGAAGCTGCAGTAGGCTGGTAGTCCTGCACCTCTCCCTTTGTCTGTGTCGTTACGGCTATCTGTTCCTGTTCCGAGCCACTGGATACCTTGTGTGAATTACCCTCTTATTGAAAAGCAGAATCCTACAGGTGTCGTTACTCTTTGAAGAGTTTCTGGTGAATTAGATGATGTGAGAACAAAGTAAAGCAACGCAAATAGTGAAATATAATCACCTCTGTCTTCTACTAGCTATGAGTAGGTGTTAGTCTTAACAAGTGGCCTTGCATATACTGTACACCTATACTTAGTTAAATAGCACATTTAGGAACTTTATCTACATAATAAAGGGATGAACAATATGAAAATAACTGAGAGCTAATATGTGCTCCATTAGAAAGGAAGTTAAGTGTGATTTGCCCTACAAAGTCAAACAAGGGAATTCAACTTTACTTTCAATGTCTGAAATACATCTCTTTATAAAGTAAATTAACTTATAATCAAGTTATTTCCCAAACAAATGAATATTTCACTTTCAAGAGTAACTTCCAGATAATTGATGAATCCTACATCTTTACAAATAGTGACGACACTAGAAGCAACCAGATGCCGTTCTGTTAAAGGAATGGCTGAAAGTTGCGCCCAAAAATCCTGCCAGGTATTGTGGGTGGGAAAGGTATGGTGTGTCTACATATAAGTGTCTCATACAGTGGTCAGGGAGAAACAGAGTCAGCAATAATGTTCTGGGAAATAAGCAAGTAAATGTCATTTACCTCAAAACTATGAAAACACATGTGTACAGTTGTGTGTGTTTTTGTGCGTGTGTGTGAATACAGGGTTGTGCAGGGCAGATTTCATGGTTAGTTGATCACAGGCATCTCAGGCCCAACCCTCATGACAGCTGCAAGAGCCACGACCATTAGACTCCCCCACCTCCAACCCCACACACACCTTCTTCTTTCCTCAACTTGCTGTCCACCTTCCCCTCCCTGTCTTCTCTCTCTATCTTGCCCTCAGACACCATCTAAATATTCTTCTCTTTTCTACACAGCTTCACCTCCTTCATCTCCTTAGAGCTCATCTTCCAGTTGATATCCTTCTATCAGTATATTATTAGGCTTACCCGTTAACTATCAATCTCACTATCTCTCCCTTTCATTGCTAAATGGTAAGATAAGTTCACCAACTGCTCTCTTCATGTGTCAGGGCTGAAACTCACCCTAAATCGCTGTAAACTTAGACCTTTTTTTTCACATACTTTGAAGTCATCTATTTATATAGATTGTCTACTTAGGGAGAGTAACGTGGACATGTTTTGTTTTTTAGCTCTGGTTTGGTCTCGCTCTGCTCATTCTCAGAGCTGCTGTGATGCTCATCATTAAAAGTAAATATGTCTGACTGACTGTTCTCCATTTATACTATAAATAATATACTATACTATTTATACATGCCTTGCTATTGATTGTTCCCCTAAGCCCACGTTTCTCATGTCAGACACCTCGTATAGACTCCCCTCCTCAGGCCTCATACCCAACCGCCCCCTCTTGGGACTCAAGGACGCTGACCCATGACCTCCAAGGGTAACCCGGGGACTGAGCGCAGCATAGGCTGCCAACTACAAGAAAGCTGTGACATAATGAGCTTGCCATAGCTTAGGTTAGCTGTGCTGGGCTGGTGGAAAAGCATGATTAAGATGGTGTTTTTGCCTTAGGGTGCTGCAGTAATCCCATGTTCTACCAGGATGAAGACTAATGTGGTTATAACACATCAACACATTTAAATCTGCCTCAAGGGTTGTTGTGGCGCAGGATTAGAGAGGGTGCGCTGGGAACCACAAGGTTGTGGTGGAAGTGTCCCTGAGCAAGACACCTCACCCCTAATTGCTCCCCGGGCAAAAATGTTAAAAGCCATGGGTTATAAATGTAATGTAGTCACTTTGGATAAAAAGCGTCAGCTAAATGACCTGTAATGTAATGTTAATGCTCCAGCTCCCTTATCTGCTATCCTTGATGCCTCAGCCATTGCATAAATGTTTTAATAATAACCAACATCACTGTTTTAACCATTTTAACTATTTCAATACACTGTGATTACATTATATGTCATTTAGCTGACACTTTTATTCAGAGCGACTTTCATTGCATTTAACCCATCCCACACAGTGAGAGCAGTTGGGGGTTACATGTCTTTTTTTTATTTTTATATTTTGCATAGCCCAAAATCGCAAATTACAAATTTGCCTCAGGGGGCTTTACAGTCTGTACACATACGACATCCTCTGTCCCTGTGCATATCGGCACAGGAAAAACTCCCCCCAAAAATGAAAAAACCCTTCTAAGAGGGAAAAAAGGGAAGAAACCTTAGGGAGAACGTCAGAGGAGGGATCCCACTCCCGGGATGGACAGACTACAATGGATGCCATGTGTACAGAATGAACAATGTATAATACATGCAATTCCTATGACAGAAATGATTCAAGTAACTGTGAGTAGTAAGCCAGGCGCACAGCAGGACCACTGCAGGGGCAACCACCAGCAGATAGAACCACCAGCAGATAGAACCACCATCAGATAGAACCACCATCAGATAGAACCACCATCTACAGAAGCCTGTGGGGAGGGAGAGCACAAAGACTTTAGGAGAGGGTAATGTTCGTTTATCATTACAGTAATATGATTAATATTTAAAATAATAATGATGATGAAGGCAGCAGCAGGTGTCAGCAGGGCCACGGCAGGTGTCAGGACCAGGGTCCAGAAGGAACCACGATCTACGGAGACCTGCTAGGGGAGAAAGCACAAAAAAACAGAACATAAAACGTGAATTATGGTAGAACGAGAGCGTGAGAGAGGAGCTCGGTGTGTCCTAAGAAGTCCCCCGGCAGTCTAAGCCTATAGCAGCTTAACTAAGGGCTGGTCCGGGCTAACCTGAGCCAGCCCTAGCTATAAGCAGAATCAAAGGGGAAAGTTTTAAGCTTTACCTTAAAAAAGCTGACCGAATCTGCCCCCGGACTGAAAGTGGAACCTGGTTCCACAAAAGAGGAGCTTGATTTTTTTTTTCCCATGTCCAAGTGTCTTGCTCAGGGACACTTGGACATGGGACATTGGAGCAGCAAGGGTTCAAACTGCCAAACCTGCGGTTCCCGGCGCTCCCTCTCTACTCCATGGCACACGGTCGCCCGCTGTGATAACAC